CACTTCTCAGGAGCAGACTTCCTAATTCCTTTATCAGCACAGTTGTGGAAATACTACACTAGGAGCTAAAGAGATGGCACGGTGCCTAAAAGCTCTTGTTGCCCAATCATGAGAACTGGAACTTAAGTCCCAGCACCCACAGAACAAGCCAGGCACCCCTATATGCCCGTAATTCCATTTCTCAGGGTTTTGATGTCCTCTTCTGGCATTCATGCATACACATGCATGCACAGACATGCACACCTACATATACATGTAACTTATACTCACGTAGGCAGATAGACAGACACACAATTTTGTTTCCTCTTGCTGGTGGTTCAAAGAGACAGAAATTTGAAGTAGCTAGTCACATGCCATACCCAGTCAGGAGCAGAGAACAGTATATTGATGAACTTGTGCTAATGTTCGGCTCTCACCTTACATTCCCCAGACCCTTCTGTCCAGGAAAATGATGCTGCCTGCAATGGCGGAGTCTTTCTAATCAGGATAATTTTCCCCAGACATGGAGGACCTAATCCAGAAACCTCCAATTGAGACTTTATTCCCAGATGATTATAGATTATGTTAAGTTGGTAATTAAATAACCATTGACACATGATTTAAAAAAAATGTCAATACCCATCACTCTCCTGAAAGTCATTGCCTCAAGGTCACGAGTAGCTTTATTAACAAATTTCTTAGCCCTGGTGAAGGCTGTGACTCCAAACAGTGCTCTTAATGCTACTCCTTGTGAAAGCATCCCTCCCTCCCTCCCTCCCTCCCTCCCTTCCTTCCTTCCTTTCTTCCCTCTCTCTGTATTTTTCTTCTCCTCCTGACTCATTTTCTTCACCTTGTTCCATTTCTCCCCACCTTTTTTGTACATGCTCTTGCTTAGTTGTGCATCAAACTTGTCACCCCTAGCCCAGCCCTTTGAGTCCCACCATTACACTATGCACGATCGCACTGGGCTAGCTACGTCCTATTTCGTGTTGCCTGGGTAGCCACAGGTCACACGCCACACATGGCTGACTACTGACTACTTGAAATGTGGCAAATGGGACGAAGGAACTGAATTTTGAGCTAAATTGCAAATTTAAGTAGTAACACATGTAGCTGGTGGCTACTATGTGGCATGACGTAGCTCCACGGAAGCCCAGGGTAGTTTCTAACTAGGCGTTTCTCAGAGTCTTATTCTCCTGGTGTTGAGGCCAGTGTTAGTTTTCTGGGTCTGTTCGTGCATCTGTTTCTGCTCACTAACAACAGTCTGTGCTCAGCCCTCTCCTTTCCCTCCTGTACTGTCTTCTTTAGGGTAGATGGCCGTTGGGCTCCAACCCTGATCTGTGTACACTCGACACCCAGCGACTTTTCTAGCCTCTACTCTCTCTGGCTTCAGACCTGTTTCCAACCTTAGCCTGGAGGTGTCTTTTGAGCTTTCAGCTGTCACTTTGGATCTGCAGTAACATCAACTAACACTATCATTTCTTTCTTCCTTCTCTACTTCACTTTGCTCTTTTTCCCAACGATTACTGTTTTTTGCTTGTTTGGTTTTTTTTTTTGGTTTCTCTGTGTAGCTTGGCTGCCCTGGATTTGTAGACCAGGCTGGCCTTGAACTCACAGAGATCTACCTGCCTCTGCCTCCCAAGTGTTGGGATTAAAGGCGTGTGACATCATTGCCAGGAGGATCACCGTTTTGTTTTTTTTCTTCTCCTTGACATCTCCTGTGATGCATTTTTCTCTCTGTTGGCCATCCCTCCCTAACCATTGTAGAGGTTGGGATTCCTCTTTAACAGCTGTCTTATTTTTATCTTCATAAGTGCTATCTCCTTTTATGATTATAAAAGTAAAAAAAATATTTATTTTTGAAAAATTTATTATCATATCAAAATCCCGAGAAAAGGAAAATAAAAGAAAAAACAAAAAAGAAGAAAGAAAAGGAAAGTTTTTAGTGAGCCTGACCTCTTAGAGGGCCCATTTGTGTTTTTGGTGTGTGACTTCCCACAAATGACCTCTCTTAACCTCTTGCCTGGATGATTGTGGCTGCAAATGCTCAGTGTCTCCCCATTCTAATCCTCTGCTATTTCCTAAGGCATGGTCCTCGCCTGTCATTCTCCTGTTCCGCTCATAAATCTCCAGAGGCACCTAGCTGTCTGCTGAATTAAATTTGTCCCCACTGGTGGGACATAGCGCCAAATCCATCTTTGTTTTCCTCGTGTTCAACAGTCCAGCGTGGGAGAAGAGCTCACTGAAGAAGAAGTAGTTATGCTTGTGAACAGATTCCCGCTTAGCTTAGCTTGGCTTTCTTAAGCATCATAGTTTCTATTTTTTTCTAGAAAACAAAACTCTAAAATTATTTTGTTTTAGGTCATGCTTGCTGGCATTATGGACTGGATTTCACTTGTTTTTGAAAATAAATGTTCTTACTGTTTCTTTTGCTGAGATAATAGCTGTCCCAATTCTGCATACATTTTCTAATGTAGCATGAGACCCCACAAGGTTAAGAGTTTCTCAAGTCCCTGAAGAAAGCCAAACTCTTCTCCATTGATGAAAAACGATAATTTTCTTTCTCTAGAATCATCGGAACTTTTAGTCATTTCCACCTATGCCCTCTTAAACCTAGTGTGGGCATCAAACTCTGGCACTCATGTTTGCTAGGCAAGTATCATGTGGTATATCCCAGCTTCAGAGAATCTTGACCCCTGATTCAATTAAAAACAAGTCAGTAGGGCCTGGAGAGAAGGCTCAGCAGTTAAGAGAGCGTGTGCTGCTCTTACAGAGGAGAGGATGCGAGTTAGGTTCTCAACATTGGGCTCTTCACAACCCCTGCACCGCTAGTTTGAGGTGACCCAGTGCTCTCTTCTGGTCTCTGCAGGCACATGTATGCATGTGGAGAATATGCATACACATAATTAAAAATAAATACAATTGAAAACAAGAAGATTATTCAGTAAACGCATACCCTGTGTCTATAGGAAGGAGGTTTCTCCACGGGAACTCTTAGACTTGGCAGTCTTCAATGGCTAGTAAGTGCTACTTTGTCTGGGTCTTGGGGATGGAGTAGCCTTCTGGGTTCCCCTGCATTTGACAGATAGCAGCAGCTATCCAGAGCTGGGCATGGCTTCTGTTAGACTCTGGTCTCTTAAGGATTTGGGAGGAGTCACAGAAGAGGTGGGAATAGCGGAAGAAGAGGGAGGATGACTTGTCAAATTTTGTGGTGACATTTAATTTTGTGGTCATTGAACACAGACTTAGTCTTTATCTCTGTCGTGTTTATCTTCTAGTAGTTCCCTGGGCATAGTAAGCAATTAATAAATGGTTGCTGTTATTAGGACGGTGAGGAAATGGATACTTCCACAAACACAGTCTCCACTTCTGCCTTTTCTCATCTTCCAGATTGAGATCCATCTTCCATCCACTGCCCGCTGGATGCTATACACACTTGCACCTCTGCCCGGTGGTGTGGGTTCTGCCAGACATGCCTTTCTGCCTTCTTCTCCACCTATTAAAATCCTATTTACACTTTTAGGACCAGACTAATTCCTTGTCTTCACATGAGATGGCTCTTGCTTGGAGCTTGTTGCCTCTTCTCTCTGCTTTGTTTAATCAGCTATTTGGTTATTCACATGGTTTGAATCTCTTTCTCAAACTTAATGGAGATGGTTGAAAGACCTCTCTGATGTTCTCTATGGCTACTGTAGAGTTGTGCACAGCCCAGATTCATCTGGCTCAAGCTGTGCTGCAGTCCCAGACTCATTTATTCCCCACCGAACTTCTGGGACTGTAACAAGAGTAGACATGTACATGTGCTCAGATGTCCCACGAGCTCCCAGAGGTCCTCTTGCTACTGAGCTGTTAGGTTCAAGCCCTCACTGTAGATTGGGGCTCAGGGTGCACATCTGGCTTGTGTGGGACTCTATCAGGCTGTCATCTTGTTTCCGAGAGCTCCAGGGTTTATAATCATGACTTATTTCAAGGGTAGCTTATTGTCATAAGTTGGGGTCCACCTCGTCTCTTGAGGCCCTTTAAAACGCCAAAGCGAAATCAAGAGAAGAGAATGACTAGCAGTGACTTTTTGAGGCAGGCTCCGTGAAGCATCAGGGCCGCTCAGCGTCTCTGTGCTTCAGTTTCCTCATCTGCCCAATAGAAAGGCTATCTTGAGGACTGAGTTTATGCATATAAAGCGTTTAAGATATCTTTGATTCGTCCATCACCTGTGTATGTATGTATCTATATATGCGTATGTATCTATGAATCTATGTATGTTGTGTATGCATCTATATGTGTGCATGTATCTATGCATTTATGTGTGGATGTATGAATGTATATATATGCATGTATGATATTTCCATATATCATCTGTGATCTATCTATCATTTATCTTTTATTTTTGATATATGATTTTTCAAAATATTCATTATACTTTCCACACTAACTTAGCATTGTTTAGTGAATAATTTTGATGACGTTGCCAATACTATACAGATGTAAGCCCTTAAGTCTGCCCTTTTCATCCTGGAGAGATGGAAGAAGTAACAGTGACCTCCAACTTTTGATAGTACTAATTTAGTTCGTAAGCATGCCACCCTCATGCCTTCCTGTAACCTGCCATTTCAGATCCGAATACCATTATGCTTATTTGGCCATGCTAGTGACTTGGTTCACTTCCGTAATGGATTGTAGGCATTGAAAGTAAGTATGAATGGGAAGGAACAAAACTTCCCTTTGCTTCCGCAGTGCCGCAGTTCCGGGGGGCTGACAATTGCAGTTTCATGGTTATTATAAGGCAATTACATCAACAGAGCTTGGCTGTCTTTCTCACATTTCAAAGGAACATGTGTCCAAAGAGATTGTTTCTCCTTTAATGATTTTGACATTGTCACATTATACCTAAGTGCAAAACTATGACAATACTCTTGCCTCAGCTGCCAAAGGCACCGTGTAGGGACACGTTGCAGCTGAAAAGACAGAATGGCCCCTTTATGGTGACTGGCTTGGAATTATAAATATTTTCATTTCTCCCGTAGGAGATGGCTCGTGGAAAAGAGGAGACAAACACGACTTTGAAGCTAAGCAAGCATACTCATCCCTCCAAACAGTCACCCTACTGAGGACTGTGAAACCTGAGTTTGAGAAGTTTTCCATGGAGGTGAAAAGTTCTGTTGAGAAACAAGGGCTCAATGAGGAGGATTACGTAAGTGCTTGATCATGAGCCCCGCCCGCCCTTCAGCATCCTGAAAACAGGCTTCTAATTAAACCAGAGGTGACAAAGTGTCCCATTCTGAGCCATTCAAAAATTCCGAGTTCAAGTCTGAACATCACTGTTGCCTTCTCTCTCTCTCTCTCCCTCTCTCTCACTGCGTGTGTGTGTGTGTGTGTGTGTGTGTGTGTGTGTCTTTTTGGCCACCTTTCCTCTCCCCAGCCCCCATCCCATCATCATTCTTGCGGTTCACTTACACTTCTCCTTTGCAACGGCTGCAGGGTGGAAAACTGCCTTTTCCTGGGGATCCATCCGTGATGCAGAGCAGGGTGCCTGTGGGCCTCCATCAGCTCCTAAGCTAGGAGGCTGTTTTGGGAGGAGGCAATTGAAGGAGTGCCCAAATTTCGCATGGCTAATTTGTTCAAGGCTTGGTGGCAGGAGCTATTTTAGGTTTTGGAGGCTCTTTCTTTGGACAGTCTATGTCGTCTTCTTGGTTGGTCTGTTCCTGTCTCTGGAAGGCAGTGGAGTTTTCTCCTCTGGGGACAAGGTGCTTTGAACTTGGGTGTTCTAGGTTTTCCAACTCCAGTAGCGCTCTCGTTACTACTGCATTTTAAAGAAGCTCAGCCTGGGCTAAGGGTCAGGCACCTCCCATGCACTATTGTTTGGGCAGCCTTTGGCACATTTAACTATGTTTTTGAGATGTCCTCAGCGTCAAACCCTTTCTCAGGGCAGGGTGCACAGAGGGCTTTCGAGTTAGTGGGCTGGGGTGGCTGTGCTGGTCTTTCTTCCTGTCCTGTCCCTGACCATAGTGATTATAGAAAGGTATTTTATGTATGCCTCTGTATTATTTTGCCTAATGGTCCATTACTAACTTTCCGACTTGAAAACTGAGCGACAGTGTCATTTTGTCTGTCTTCCTCCCCAAAGTTGTTAAAGTTGAATTGTTTCATCACTTGTTGTCTGACACAATGAGACTCACTGGGCGACAGTTGGCTTCTCAAAATATTTCTTTTTTGCATATTCTGGATTATCAGTTTTCTTGTTCAGAAAGCTAACTCTCATTTTAATTATAGTCCAAGCAAAACCTCATTAAGAAGATACTGCTCCTACAACAATCTATAGTGTTTTCTAGACACCATTCTAGTGTTTTCAAGAGTATTTGCATATGTGAATGATAATATTGCCTCTCTGAGCTGACTTTTAAAATAAATAAAGTTTATAATTTTAAGTAGAATTGAGGTAATTATAATAATTTATTCTGATTCGGAAGATACAGTCCTTTTTTTTTCCAGTTCTGGAAGTGAACCCAGGGTTTTGTGTGTGTGTGTTTCACCACCGAGATCTCCACTTTTTCTTTTCCTGTAGCTTCTGAGTGTTAGTCACTTATACAGTTAGTCTACAAGGTGGCTGTGTTGTGCTGTAGAGAGAGCAGAGGATCAGGAGCGTGGGCCCAGAAGGATGCTAGAGCAGGGCAGTGGGATGTGCTTCATCAAGTCTGAAGGTGTCACTCAACCAGCTTTCCTCCGGGTCCTTTAGCATCTCATATTTGCGTTCATGGGGTGTCCATCCGTTTGAATAGGACTTAACTTCGCAGAGCTTAGCAGGGGCTTTGTGCCTGCCTTTCTCTTTTACCCGGCAAGTTTGGTGGGCCCATTAGGTCTCATATGCACTATGCTTTCCCCAGATAATCGTGTGATCTCTGAGTAGGTGTCTGGTTTTGTTTCCTTTTAATGCTTCTATTTCTTAATGCTTATGCTAAGGTGTCTGCTGCTAAATTAAGGTTGTATCTAGCTGAATTAAATTATTAAATTAATTATGTTAAATGAAAATAAAATGTCATAAGCTGAAACTTTAATGGCATTTGTGAGGAACCCAACACGGTGCTGAACTGTCTGAACTCTAAATTGAAAGCACAAGTGACAGATATCTTATCTGTTTTTGTCTTATCTGTTTCTGTCTGGTTGATACATGAAGCATGGTAATAACTATGGAGGGTTGAGAGAATATCTCAGATTGAGAAATTCTCTTTCATTTTTCTTTAGTGTAGGTTTTCTGCTTCTGTTAAATGACATGTTTTCTTAGGCTAACTGAAATAAAAATGGCACAAGCATTAAGAATTTCATGGTCCAGGGTGAGGAAAGCCCCTCTTACCTTTGGAGTTTGTTTTAGGATTGTGAGCCAAATGATATCATGGATCCACTTTTACGTTTTTTAGAGTTACATTCATATTAGCATGTTGCAAGCACCCCTGAAAATGTTATGATCTTTTAAAAATCTCTTTCTAAATTTATTTTTTTTTATTAATTACAGTTTATTCACTTTGTATCGCAGCTGTAGCCCCTCCCTTGACCTCTCTGAATCCACCCTCCTTCCCTTTTCTTCTTCATGCTCCTCCCCCAGTCTGCTGATATGGGAGGCCCTCCTCCCCTTCTATCTGATCTTAGCCTATCAGGTCTCATTTGGACTAGCTGCATTGTTTTCCTCTGTGGCCTGGTCAGGCTGCTCCTCCCTCAGGGGGAGGTGATCAAAGAGCCAGCCACTGAGTTCATGTCAGAGATAGTCCCTGTTCCCATTACTAGGGAACCCACTTGGATACTGAGCTGCCATGGGCTACATCTGTGCAAGGGTTCTAGGTTATCTCCATGAATGGTCCTTGGTTGGAGTATCAGTCTCAAAAAAGACCCATGTGCCCCAATTATTTTTCTCTCCTTGTGGAGCTCCTGTCCCCTCCAGGTCTTTCTGTCTCCCCCCCCCCCTTTTTTTTTTATAAGATTCTCTACACTCTGTGCAAAGTTTGGCTATGAATTTCAGCCTCTGCTTTGATACTCTGCAGGGTAATGTCTTTCAGAGGCCTCTGTGGTAGGCTTCTGTCCTGTACCCCGTTTTTTCCATCTTCCGAAGTCCATCCCGTTTGCCTTTCTGAATGAGGATTGAGCATCTTACCCAGAGTCCTCCTTCTTGCTTAGCCTCTTGAGGTGTACAGATTTTAGTATGATCTTTTAAAACATGAAAATATATGAAATTAATTTTTTTACAGGCTACACGGCAACATCAGAAGGACAGAGAAACAATGATATTTTTAAACAGTAGAACTATTTGACTATTTTAATAGCACAGTGACTTCATATTTTTGTTTACTAAACTTGGATGGATTAATTCAAATTTTTTATGTGTATGTGTGAGCATATGTGTGCTCAAGTGTGTGTGTGTGTATGTGTACGTATATGCTGAGGTCAGCAGTCAACTCCATCACTCTCCATTTTCTATATTTATTGAGACAGTGTCTCATAGAACCTGGTGCTTGTTGATTTAGGTAGACTGGCTGGTCAGCAAGCCGAGATCGTTCTGTCTCTGCCTTCCCTAATCTGGGAGTACAGGTGCTTGCTGCTGTGCCTGGGTTTTTACATGGGCGCTAGAGGTTGAACTCAGGTCCTCAAAGCTTTTGTAGTAAGGACTCTATCAACTGAGCCATCTCTCTATCCCTAATTAATACAATTTTATTTTTGTAAAATTATCTTCATTTCCATACCTTGCTCCCACTTTAAAAAAATTTAACAGTTTAATTGAGGATGTGGCCAAGGGTAGGTTTCCCATGCTCCAGTGGATGGCCCTCACCCATGTATATGTGGGCAACAATAACTGGATTTAGTGGTGTATAAAAAATAAAAGACATGAAGTTGGGAATGGGCATATTTGGAGATTATAAGATTGGAGGTGGGTTGGGGTAGGTAGGATAACTTTTAATTGTATATATGTATGAAATTCACAAAAATAAAGAAAAAAGTGAAAAAAATAGAGCATAAGACACCATATAGAGAATGTACAGTTCTCCTCATGGTAACATGTGGGAAGATTATGTGCTATACAATTCACTCGGCGCTCTCAAGATTCTTGTTTACTTATGCTAGAGTGTGTGGTAAGCTCTGTGTTTCGTCACCTGTGTAGATTTGCATGTTTGAGTTCTACCCAGTGCTTTGATATGTTTTTGTCCCCACTTTTGGACACAGGATCTTATGCAACTTAAGCTAGCCTTGAACTATATAGCTAAAAGCATCTCTGAACTCCCAATATGGCTGCCTCAGACTCCAAGTGCTGGGTTTACAGGTGCTGCTCACCATGCTTGGTTTATGTCTACTGTGACAATCAGATTCTTCATTCTGTTAGTTTCATTTTTCACTGCTGTGTGTAGAGGTTTGATAAGAACACCCCCATATATATTTGAATGCTTATATGTTTGAATGCTTGATTGCTGGGGAGTGGCACTATTCAAAAGGATTAGAAGGATTAAGAGCTGTCACCTTATTGCAATAGGTATAGCCTTTTAGGAGAAAGTGGGATTTGAGGTTTCAAAAGCTCATGTCAACTTTATTAAATATGTTTGGGACATATGGAAACCAAGTCTAATTACAAGATACACTGAATTCCTACACACCTTAGACATGTGGATTGAAGATAGTTTTGTACAATATCTTAACCGACTCTGCTTTTTGACTGCAAGCTGCCATGAGATGCGAAGAGTTTCCATTTGTGATGTCATACCAGCACTTAAAGTTTCATGGATACTCAACCTGTATCATGCTTGCAGTGTTGTTATTGCTGAACTGGGAAGACATCAGTCCCAACATCTTCTCATTCAAATAGCCAAAACTATGGCTCAGAGAAGTGTGCTAGCCTTTTCTAGTACATATCTTAGTCAGCAATGCTCATGAGCGAAGGGTTCTGTGCACTGACCTTCTTATTAACACAGCTTTATAAATACTGTAGGAGGTGGTGCCAGGGTGGTAAAAGGGTCCACGACAAGGGTACTGAAGACCATTTAGGGTTACTAGTAAAAACAAACTGAGAAGTAATGTTGCATTGGAGAGGTCCCTGAGGCTCAAGGCCTGGCTCAGACAAGGTTCTGACAAGTGCCTGCTTGGCCTTCGCCATTGGTTTGTATTGGGTCACCTACATGTGCAGTGGCTCTCACTCAAGGGCATTTTAATAGAGCTGCC